GTCTTCTTGCGCCGCTTGACGCGCTGGTGGACGGGGCGCCAGTCATTTTGGGCGGTGATGAAGGCACGTTCAGGCGGAGGTGAAGTGAGGTCCTCGGTCGATGGCGAATTCTCCGGCGCAGCGAGCGCTTTGGCGAATTCAATAAAATGGTCCTCTTCGACAAAGTCGTTATCGTAGTCAGGCAAGAGGGTGAAGTCGAAGCCGGCGGCCGAGTATGGCTCTGGGCCGTCTGTCTTCTTGTCGATGTCAGCCATGGGGTAGGGAGTGACGAGATGTATATTTCATCGCAGAAGACAAAGGAACATGTCACGTCAGATGAATAGACTCAGGGTGTTGAGAGCGGCATGTGAGGCTCGAAGCTTCGGGGGTTTACGTCACAGGGCCTGCCGAGGCCTGGGCCCTGCACCCCGGAACCCTTCCGACGTTCATGCACAGAAATCCTCCTCGTTGGCTACCCGCTACCACCATTGCTGTACCTGCACCCGCACCCGCACCCGTACCCGTACCACTCCACACTCGCCCACACCGCAGAGCTCATGCGGCCTCCTTCCCCTGGGCTCCAGGCCGCGATCCGCTCAACGAGTCGTCGCCTACGCCAATGGCCATTGCAAAGATGCCTCATGACCCTTGCCATTGAGACATCATGCGATGATACTTCGGTCGCAATAGTCGAAAAAGGAAACCACCATGGCCACGTGACAGCAAAACTGCATTTCCACGACAAGGTCACGTCCAACAACTCAGTATACCAAGGCGTGCACCCCCTGGTGTCGCTTCAATCTCACCAGGAGAGCCTTGCAACGCTTGTGCATGAAGCCATGCACCATCTCCCAATGCGCAATGGGCCTGTTCTTCCGAATGCGGAGTCGACACAGTCAGGCCAAGTAGACATTGCAGCAAGAAGACTCCCCGACTTCATTTCCGTTACACGCGGGCCTGGTATGCGTAGTAATCTGTTCACGGGCCTCGATACCGCAAAAGGCCTTGCTGTAGCATGGCAGGTACTGCACGCTGGTCTCCCCATGAACCTGCCACTGACGCCTGCCCCAGAAACCTCTCGTTGGTGTTCACCACATGCAAGCACATGCTCTCACGCCGCGAATGGTGAGCGCTCTTGAATCCCATCTCCATCCATTGCCTGCGCCTGCGCCTAAGTTTCCGTTCTTGTCAGTGCTAGCATCTGGTGGTCACACATTACTCATCCACTCTGCTTCTTTGACACATCATCGTGTATTGGGGTTCACAAATGACATTGCCATTGGGGAATGCTTGGACAAGATTGCTCGTGTCGTCTTGCCTGCAGAGTTGCTGCAAACAACCAAGAGCACCATGTATGGAGCACTCCTTGAAGCATTTGCATTTCCTGATTCAGGTCTGGAAGGTCAAACAACTCTGACCCCACTGTCTGCGCAATCCCCACACTCCGCTGAAAATTATCTGGGTACGCATGGTCATCGGTATGAGTGGTATACAGTTCCAACAAATCACGAAGATGCAACCCGGAGAAACACTACTAAATGGGGTTGGGCTCTCAACAAGCCACTGACTAAATCGGGCGGGGGCGTCAAGATTAATAGCCTTGAGATGAGCTTTTCCGGAATTACCACAATGGTCGAACGCATCGTACGATATGGCATGGACCCTACTGCTAGGAAATTTAACAAGGTTGAGCGATCAGCTCCTGAGGTTGAAATCGAAGAGAGAATGGATCTGGCCAGAGAAACTATGCGCGCAGCTTTCGAGCACCTAGCTTCACGAGTGGTGTTAGGCCTGGAATCCCAACGAAATTTCACGACATCGAAGCCTGCCGTCGTCATGTCTGGAGGCGTCGCTGCGAACTCACTTCTTCGACACATGTACGTACACTCAATTTCGAGGAATTGCACCCACTGTCATTCGGCTGTAGAGATAGATCAAGCTAACCTATTATCAGACTTGCATGTACCCTTTGTGCTCACGGATTTCCAGATGTTGAGCTGTATTTTCCTCCTCCCAAATTCTGCACCGACAATGCTGCCATGATTGGATGGGCCGGACTCGAGATGTTCGAAGCGGGATATATCGACCCACTCAGCATTCGTGCCATACGAAAATGGCCACTGGACAAACTTCTAGATCCCCCAGAAGACGGGTGATGGCCAAGCACGTCCTATATGCAACAGGGCTCTCTTCTTCCCTTGGCTCCCGGGACTACACCATTGATATCCGCCTTCCCGGGTATTCCATAGTGGAAACAAACAACTGGTCAATAGTCGATTGTCTGCAAGCAGGGCCAGTGTCGCTGTCATGATTCGGTATTTCGCGATTGTGAGAACAATCCGATTGCCAGGAGCACTTTCAGTTCGACGGCTGTTGCGCTCTTCATATTCCCTCCTGGAACGTCGCACAGTTACCAGCATGCATACACCGAGGTATGGGCTGTGGCAGTTCGCTACCGGGTTCTTATGTTCCCAATGGGGGCTATATGACCATGCCTTGGTCATATCAGACAAAACCAAGGGGTTCTGGTAATGTTGATTCTGGACCGAGGCCATGCAAGCGAAGTAGTTTCGTTGGTTGAGCGACACGATTGTTAAAGTTGGTTCATATATTATGCAAAGTCCTCACGAGGGAAACCCTGCATTCTCGGCTGTTTGCAACCATGGCACGATCACACAAAATACCCAGCAATATAGCCAGACAAGATGCACTTTAATTTTGCCGACACCTTCCACATTTTGTAAATTCAACACACGCCACTGGACAGTGTATATCTAAAATTAGGTTTCTCCCAAGTGACACTGCAGGTAAACCCGGCGGTTATCACTGTATATTGCGCTGCGAGATCGAAGCACGACCAAGAGCCCGAACATGGACTGTCAAGCCTCGCTAATGCAGAGTCCTATGGTGTCACACAGATGCAACCGAAGTTCACAAAGGACTCGTGGCGCGTGGTCTCGTATCTTTAATCTTGGCACTGTATCGTTGCATGTTCTCCTAGATTGTCCAGAACCAGTGACTGGAGAAACTTCTATAACTTTGCTACAAAGTCGCAATGAAAGAGCAGAGTTACACCACCAAGTTGTAAATTTAGTCTTGCACCATATATCTTCGAGCAAACATGGCTCCTGCACGCAACAGTGTGCTGGTGCTACTTGGTCTTGCAATCAGGTTTGTTATTCTGTCTGCGTCAATTTACAGTTACCGACGTGTTTTAGTATCCGTGCTGCACCTGCTGGCTTTCAAGAGCGTCAAGTAGAGATAACTCCACCTCAGCAAAGCATTTCATGGGACACTGGTAATCCGGAGCCCACTGAGGGCCCCTATGAGCCTGTCAATCCACCAAAGCCAACGGACCAAATCAGCCTTGGAAAACCGTCCTTCTGGATTAGCTGGGAGACTAGTGAGCCTGAACCGACAGCAGAACCTGAATACCCCCCACCAAAACCGAGCGACCAGTTCAGTATTGGTAATCCATCCTATAGCATTAGCTGGGATGGAGAAGGCCCAGGTGCCTCGACGCCCACTCCTGTGCCCACACCTACACCTAAACCAACTCCTGAGTACCCATCCGTCACATCGTCACCATCTGTCTCCACAAGCTCTAGCACTTCTAAACAGACTTCTTCTTCAGTGCCTACCAGCAAGCCTACTTCAACCAGAAGGCCAGGATATCCTCCTTGGAACCCGTGGCCACCAAGACCAACAACTTTCAAATCCACGACGAGACCCAAGCCGTCGTCAACCCAAAAGTCGACATCAACAAAGGAGGTACAGACCAGCTCACCGCCACCCCAGTATAGCATAAGCTGGAACATGGAGCAACGCAATGTTAAGCCTACATCCAAGGTGACTCCTAAGCCTCCACCCAAGCCAACTTCCAAGCCTACATCTAAGTCCGCAGTCCCATCTACTTCAAAGGCTACACCTAAACCTACCCCATCATCCACTTCAAAAGTCATGCCTACCCCCACTCCTACCCCCAAACCTACCCCAACCCCAACCCCAGAGCCCGACACCACTTCCTACGCTCCCCCCGACATCACCCTTGGGCCCCCCAGCTTCAGCATAAGCTGGGGAAAACGCTCCCCAGAACCCACTTCTGCACCCTTTCCCGAAGACGACCATTTCCCTGAAGACGACCCCTTCCCAGAAGAAGAAGACCCAGACTTCCCCCCATCGCCGCCCACCCTCCCCTCCCAACCCAACAACATCAGCATCCAACCCCCCACCGCAACCGTCATCTGGGGCAAACGCCAAGAGGAGGAGGACGATGATGATTTTCCGCCACCGTCCATCCCGAGTCAGGTGAACAGTGTAGGAGTTGAACAGCCTACTGCCACGGTGATTTGGGGAAAGAGACAGGAGGAGGGTGATGATGATGATGATGATGATTTTCCTCCGCCGTCCATCCCGAGTCAGGTTAACAGTGTGGGGGTTGAACAACCTACTGCGACTGTGATTTGGGGATGATTGTGCTTGTGACGAGGAAGGAGTGAGAGGGGGAGGTGTAGAGGGGGAAGGGAAGTGGTAGTCAACTTGCGCCATGAGAATTTGAATTTGCTAGGAAATGTTCGCGCTGTTTTCTATGTGTAGTAGTTTTTTTTTGGTAGAGACTATGATGCAATGTACTTTGTTGCCCGTACGATGTTTTTCTTGAATTTGGATACATGTGAATGTTCGAGCGCATGTTTCTTAGTACATACATTGAAGTTGTATTAGCAACAAGCAAGCTGGGGAATACTTTGCTGCCTTCGTCCCCGGCAAACCCCCCTCCCCGTAACAAAAAACCGGTTATCAACGTTGCTATATCCTCCTTTTAAGTGCAATCGAAAAAAAAAACGAAACTATTTTACAAACCTCTATGTTGGTATCAACAGGATATGTATATCCGTGGGCGAACTCTCTCCTCGCGCAAAGCAAGGTCGGCAAAACAAAAGAAGAAAAAAAAAGCGCGGGTGGTGAGACTATCAACAAAAGGGTGGTGTTAGACAACGAACCTTCCTGTGACTTTACGATGAACGACGCGCGTAGTATGCAATGACGTCGTTGCCCTGGCTGAGGCCGTCGAGAAAGGCCGTCGCAACGTCTTCAACGGGGTGGACACGAGATCGCAGCGTGACTGCAAAGCAGTGTGCGATGAGACTCGCTTGGGAGTCTGGCGTGTTGTGCGAGCGGAGTTGGAAGGAATCGACCAAGGCGGCGATGAAGCCTTGGATATGAACGGGACTAACGCGTTCACGGTGCATGCCGAAAGCGCGGGCGATGGCTGCTACGGCTCGTACGGTATGGGTAGTGATGGTATTGCGCTGTTGGCGCATGCGATCGGAAACGTGGCGTGTGCTTCTGCGGGGTTGGAATGCGGAGAGATTGAGGAGCTGGGAGCAGATGGGGTCGCTTTCGGCGAGGATGTGGAGGTCGGCGATGGGGAAGTGATGGAGGATTGCTTCGGCGGGTACAGAGGCCCATACCATGCGTTCTGCGAGCTACGTATCAGTAAAGTGGATAGTAGTAGGGCAGCCAGTGGACTGGCGACTTACCTGCGTAGCCTTTGTAGCGAGCCCACCATGCCTGACCTTCGGACTTGAGCATTCGAAGGACATCTGCTGCTAACAGCGTTTTGTTTGGCGTTGTAAGTGAAGGATGATCCAATGCCACTGTCATCGCGTTAGATAAAGTCGATTCCAAGTTTCTCCAAATAAAGCATTTCGCTCACCGACAGCTATCCGTGGGTCGTCCATGGTGCTTGCTTTGACCAAAGCCTGCAGTGAGCTTGTAGACAAGGAAACAAAAGTAGACGCTCCGCCCTTTAAGCACAAATCTGTAAATTGATGGTTATTGTGGATTCTAGAAATGTTTCGTTACTTCTAAGCACTTACGCAAGTTGGTTAAAAGCTTCAGTGCAGCTCTGCCCTCGCCGTCTGGAGTAAATGGAAGAGGATATTCACCGCGCCAGATGGTGAAAGCCTGGCTTACAAACCCATCTTCTTTACTGAATACAGTCCGGCTGTTTTTATCCCAGACGCGAAAGGCAATTTTTCGCTTGATAGGCTCTATAGAGGACCGCAATTCTTCCACTAAAACTGTGCGGGGGCTCGGGTTTTCGACATCAGACCACTTTTCCTCGTCTTGGTTGTCCGTGGACAATGCTACATTCCCGAGTAGACATTCTGATATGGGTATCTCTGGCTGATCTGACGGCAATATAACAGGTTGATTGAATCGAGAAATCTGACTCTTTTCTTTCTCCTTTTGCGCAGCGCGACGGACCATGGATCTATACGTTCTTCTGGTTCTTGGGGACTTTGCCCACCGCGCGGTGCCAGAGTCGAATACAATTTCTGTTTCTCTGCGCTGTAAACCAATGCCCAAGTCTGCAGCAGTTTCTTCTATAATCCCACGAATTGCATTGTACCGCCCTTCTGGATCGTGGAATGGAATAGCCATTACCCGGGCGTACTCAGGAAAGGCGCGTCCGCCATACAGCAACACATGACTCTCAAATTGATGACGTACGACCGATACCCGAAGTTCAAGTCCGGTAACATCGTTGAACACTCGGGGAAGAATAGTCGGATCAGAATTGTCGTACCACCTGTATAGAATAGTCAACAGCTCCCGTTGATCCTCATCCCACAAATGTGATGGGGCTCTTTCAATCCTTTGAAGAACTGCTAGAGATTGTAGATTGCTTAAACCGTTCGAAGACGATGCAAGTGTAACGCGATTGCCAGAGCTACTCATTTTGGATGTGAGCTGGCGACGTACTGAAAGCGAACCTCTCAAAGTATTGCTGGAATTGGAGCGGGTATGGCCAGGATGTAGAAGATGGCGACCAGTTTTGTTTGGTGCCATGCGACGAGGGCAAGGTGTGGACTGTGACTCGATGCTATCAGAAGTGCAACTTGAAGAGCTTATTTGACTCTTGGAAAGATCAATGCCGGTTGCCTTGCGTGTGTAGGCGTTTTGCTCATGTAAGAAAGAGGAGCCAGAAAAAGAACAACGTGATGCTTGCGTCGAACCCTCTCTTTCTGAAGGCGAATATGAGCCCGAAGATTCGAAGAACAAACTTCCTTTCCAAGGCTCAATACTGTCGAGTGATGGACTGAAAACATCCGCAAATGGTGGAAGGGTCAGCTCTCGTAGGGCACGATCGCAATTGCTGCGAAGAGACCCTTGTGGATTGTTAGCACTTGTGTTGAAGGAGAAAATGATCAGTAGTTAGTTGTCTCTTGCCTTGTAAATCTTGTTCTGGAGCGGTGTGTAACTGCTCGTGCTGAAGCTGTTCTTCCACTGCTTGAGTGGTGACAGCTTCCGAGCTTGGCTCCCATATCATTACTCCGGCATCTGCTTCTCGCCATATGTGAGTTGCCATGGCAAGGTTGTTCAAAGAATACTTTTGATGAACTGCTTGTCAAGTTTAAAGATGAAGTAAGCCTTTTGGCACTGCATACTGTTGGTAGCACAGTATACTAACATACCGGGCCTCATATAAACGCGAAACGCCATCTGACATGTGAAGAGTGCGTTCCCCGTGTAGTGAAGTGAATAGGGCTCGTGCGTACGTGTCGTGATATCTGCGAGGTGACGAGAGCTGCAAGGGCGAGTGATGTAGGCCCAGACACTTACTTAATCGCTGCCGAGACAGTGAGGAAGTTTATGAGGCAAGTAACATCTGCTCTTACCTCTTATCTAGCAATCCGCACGCGATTTCCTGTAGCTCTATCAGTCCAAACCATGCATACAACCTCACCACCTCGACCAAAAACATGCTTAATTGGTGACAGTGAGAGTTAATGACGTCTCAACAAGGGCAACTCGTCATGAAACAAACAGCAGATGATTTTGAGTAGTATCATTCATCTAGCTTAAAGTAATGTACTAGGCTCAGAATAATATTATACACGGGGCGTAGGTAATATACTATAGGCGTGAGTGAGAAAAGTTGGACGTCTACAATAAACCAAACGTGTGTATAGTGGACAAAGAAAAGGAAACGATATTACCCTCCCACGCTACGTGACATTCGTTATCTGTAAAAGGAGTGATTTAGGAAACCTGAGGGGAAAAGTTGAGTTGGATAGATGAAGATGGTGATCATAAGACTTTTTGGGGAATTAGATAGGATGATGAGGGCACAAGTGGGTTAACCCGTCTTTGCAAAAAGGCCGTCGAGTTGGCAAAAAAAACAAAAAAAAACACAAAAAGCGATTTTTTTTTCATCGGTGATTGGAATGCCATAATCAAAGTAGGCGTGCACCCGATATGCGTACGCAACAGTGAAAGAAGTGAACAGTAGAGGTTGCGTGTGATACTCCTAGAGCATGCGAGAGAAGCTGATTTCCATACTGAATCGTAAATGCGGGGTTCCTGGATTGACGGCAAGATGTGGTCGCATTTGCTTGTTCTAGGGTGAGTGTAGTGACGGGTTGCTGGGTATTGCATAAGCGCCCGAGCGCGGTGCTTTGGCTGCTGCGAACATGCATATGCGAGGTCCACGCACAGACGGCCCTTGAACGGTTCGATAAGAGGACGCCATCTTACGCCGGAACGCTCCCCACCAACAAAAACAACGACGCCTTGTGGAAGTGCACACGGGCTCGCTTATTTGTGACCGTGCTGCTCGGTGCAGATCTTCCTGACGACCCACTTCTCCCAGAACTTGCGTTGCTGGTTGGTGACCATGACACCATCGTCTCCTAACGCGTCTACACTGTCCATATGACCGTTGCAATTGCACCAGGTGACCGAGGCTGGGGTATCTGGCATGGGTGGGAAGTGGAGAGTTCCGCCCTGCTCCGGTTCCGGCTCGTCGGTTTCTGTATCCGATTCTGTACCAGCTATCGAGCTGTCGTCGTGATCGTGTCCATTAACGCTGTGGTTGTCGAATGGCTCTTCTTGTTCCCCATCGTATTCCCAGTCCTCGCTCTCGTCACTACTGTCGCTTCCAACAAGAGGATCGTCTGGTACTTCAGCCCCCAACACCCACTGCTCATCGAAATGTTGCTCGTAATCAATTCGTCGTAAGCTGACCCAGTCAAGCCTCGGGAGATCGTCCCGCAGGCAAGGCAAGACATCTTTCCACCTACTGCCTTGCCTCAAAAGTACGTCTCGCAGCCGCAATCCGCGCAATGTCTCTCGATGTCTCTGTGCAAACCCAATGATTTCTTCTGCATCTAGCCGCCATGCTTGTATACCAAAAGCCTGCAACTTGTCCCACTTGACGTTGTGGAAAAGTTCCTCTAATTGGATCGAGAGTGGCCTGTACGATGGAAAGCCGATATGCAACGCCTCTATGTTCTTGGCAGCCGTGAATAGGGCCTTGGACAGAGAAGAGAGGTCTCGCATGCGCACATCAAGGTCGGTGCTATCATCAAAGTGTAACTCTAAGCAAGTCAGGCGACTGGCAAGGATGCTCAATGTGGATGGTGGATTCTCAACAGCACTCGACACACTCTGTGGACTAAGCATGGGCGATGAGATTCTTGAGCATGGCGATCCTGACTTGAGAAGGGCCTGGCCTATTGTCTTTGCGCTGTGCAGGCAGGCCGGAGGCCACCGCGGGACCAGATCGTTTAGTTCATGGGTGCGCATGTAATTAATAAGCTTCCCCTCTTCTTGGTCCTGGACGCGCAGGATCTGGATGTGCTGAAGGGAAGTGAATTGGCGAAGTGCAATGTGGAGAATGCGGGCATCTTCGCCAGTGCGGACAATTTCTCTCTGCTCGTTTGCCTTTGTTTGGAAGTGACGAACATCAAAGAGGGCGAAGCTGTTGGGCTGTGTATGAAGGAGTTCTTGTAACCGCTCCCGTCCTAGGGCCAGGTTAGTGTTTGGTTAGGCATACGGGATTTTGGAAAGGGGGGTTGAAGAAAAAGGGTTAGTCGGACCTTGGTCGTAGAAGAAGGGGACCATGTAGCTGAATTTCTTGACACGGCGGGCAATGTGCGGCTGGCTGGCAATCTTCTCGAGCCGGTCAAGGCCTCTTTTGGAGAAACGGGTGGTGACACGTGAGAACTGATGGATGACGCCGAGGTCGGAAAACTTTGTGCAGGTCAGGCGAAAGGCGGCGATGGTCTGGGCCTGGTCGTGGTCCGGAGGCAGAGGCAGCTTGAAGCTCTCCTGCGAGAGATAGGCGCGGCGTTCGAGGCTAATGGGCTTCTCGGGTTCCGAGGCGACATATTCGAGAATGATGCGAAGAAGCTCGTCGGCAAGATCAAGGATACCCATTTTATGTGGGACTATTCATGACGGCAGTGGGAGGAAAGGATTGCTGGGGCGGGGGTTGCTCGGGCGGGCAGGAGGAGCGCAGGGCACGGGGGATATAGTGGAGTGGGAGCAGGAAAAAGAGAGACACAGAGACAGAGACAGAGACAGAGACAGCAAAGGCTCGGGCCGGATCGGGACAGGAGATGGACGGCCGACGGGAGGCGGATCGAGGGCTGTCGCGGGCCAGGCTTGCCAACTGACAGCGTGGTGGTGACCGGCGGCGATGTTCTGTGAGACGAGACAAGCGAGGCGAGGAGCAGCCAGAGGGCAGAGGGGCAGGGCCGGGGATGGGAATGCATGACCTTGTTCGCTAGTAGTCAGCTAAGCGTCGCTGGAGTTGAGGACGACGAGTGGACACGCACCGCGGCCACAGCGGGCGCTCCCCCAATGGCACGGGGCGCCTTAGCCTGCAAACCGCCTAGCGCTCACATGACCTGACCTCGACGCGGCCGCCCGCCACAAGCACCCGTCGAGTGACGGGCCCGTGGCTCCTCCCGCCTCGACTCTCGCGGATTCGTTGTCTGCCCACCGCCTGCCTGCACCGCCTGCACCGCCTGCACCGCCTGCACCACCACCGCCCACCAGTGGGGCCCTTGTCCCCTCGGCCTCTACCCTCTACCTGCCCGTCCACCCCTCCGCCGGCCCCGAGACCCACCACGCGCTGCCAGCACAGCATGCGTCTCGAGCGCTTGTGACGCTAATCACCCGACCCGCAGACCGTCATCAGCACGATACCACGGCCGTGCCCTTGGAATCGCCCAGCGCTGGTCACCCACGGCCGACGAGAGTGCATACATCACGGCCGCCCTCGTCTCCCACGCGCTGTGCCAATGCCACTGCTAATGCTAGCTACCGTCTACCACACTGCCCCCGCACCGCCTGCAGTCGCCGCGCCCGCCCGTCTGACAGCAAACGTGTTGCCCGTATCCAAGCCCTATATGTGCCCCCCTCCACAGCGTCATTTGCTTCTTGTGCCCCCAGCCCCGGTCCTCCGTTACACAAGCACTCAACCCACACGTCGACTTGTCTTTTCTTCCACCCTGTCCACCCGCCCTGCCTTTTTATCCCTCATTTCCGCCTGCTTGTCTTCGCCTCATCTTCCTCGCCCCCTGTGCTGCTCTAGACCCGACTGCGCTCGCTGCGTTTGCGCCGGATCTCGGTACTGCTCAGCTTGCTCTCGAAAGATTCGTCCACGTTGTCTTCTTCGCTGGCATCGAGAACCGCAACCTCAAACACCTCGAGCGCCTCCCAGCCCTGCTCTTTGCGCTTTTCGTTGACTGCCGCACCCCCGCTCCTCGTTTCGAGCGACAGCACCAGGGCGGTAATGTCCCTGTCGGTGATGGTCGGGCCAAAAGGATCCCATATCTCGACATATTTGATAGTGAGCCCAAAGGGATAGCTGACGTGCACCGCATGGCCATTTGGCCCAGCCTCATTCAGTTCCTCAACACGAATCCGCTCGTCATCTGGAGATCCAAAGTAGACAAGCTGTGAGAGAAAGTCGTGTACAGACTCCTGGCGTTGCTTCCAGCTCTCGAGCTGGTCTGCATACTTTTTCTTCTGTAGCAGGGCATCGCCAGTGATTCCAGCGGTAAGCACACTGGGTTTCGACTCGGAGGTGGACGACTGCCGTCTCCCCAGCATGAATGCGAACATTGTCAACAGCAGCTTGTGGCCAATATGCAGATGATCAAAAGTCCCTCCAACAGCTACCGAGGCGTGGTTCGTGGCTGCACCGGCCTGTTGGAGAGTTGGCTCTGGCGCCGAAGTGTCTACGCTCACTAGTCCGCCCCGGACTTTGTTCACAGCGTACTGAGACTTGGCTAGAGATGTAAAGGCTTTCAGTACTTGCTCGCCTTGTTCACTCTCGACTGAATAGACGACGTGCCATGGCCGAGGGCTGCGAGCTAGTGTGTGCATGTCGACGGCTGGGCCTTGGAGTTCCTGCTCTGGAGTAGCATCCGGCAGGGGCCCGGTCAGGTGACCGTCTCTTGGGTATGCCACCAGCACAATGCGGGCGTCGATGCCCTCCTCATCTTCCGTATCGATAGCGTGCCTGCTTGTCGTGATGCAAATGAGTTTGTAGAGGTCGGCGACTAGCTGCTGCGTGATGGCGTAATGAGGTCCTCGCGGCGCATCAAGATGCCTGTACAGGTGCGGGCATGGCAAAGCAATTTCCAAGAGCGTGTGCCCCTGTGATTTAGACGGTGACGCTGCCAGCTCTTTCAAGACGGTGCATATTGGGGCGTTGTATGCAGCCTTGAGTGCTGCGTACGATGACGGAGCTGGTGCAGGCGGCAGCAACAACAGAGCACGGTGGACTGGCTTGCGTGAGGGCGGCATGGTTACAAGACGACGAGCAATCACCAGACGAACCAAAGGCGTGGTAGGAACAGAGACAGAGTTGAATGCAATGCGCCTTGCGAGCAGAGGGAACATGAATCGCGGGGGCTTTCATGCAATGTCCGTCCTCTTGCCCGCCCTGGACGTGAATGCGAGGGTTGGTTGGAGGAGGGGTGGTGGGGAACATTTGCCGAGACAGAGCCGCCCAGGGACTCTACATACGCCAACCGCACATGTCGCTTTCCCAGACGACTCCACGCCGCAACCGTTGCACGTCACTTTGTTTTTCTTTTCTCTCGCGGTGAGCCAGCGCGGTAGGAATTGTAGGCGCCATGCCCTTCGGACACCACCACCAGAACGGGCCCCTCGACCCAGCGCAGGGCATCTATGCCGCCGCTTCGGCGCTTGGGAGTATGTAGGCCTCCGGGGCACTCTACCTGAACACCAGCTGATAACCATCTCCCCCATCCGCAGGTATAGGAGCGCCTGGAGGCAATCTGCGCACAGCAACCCAGGGCACCACACGCGCGGGCACCGATGCCTTTCTGCCAGGAAGCAGTGGCAATGCCCAAGCACCGGGTGAAGCGTACATGGCATCCACGGCACCGCCAGCTGCAAACTCGAGCTACGATACGCCGCGACACAAAGTGCCCAGCATGGGAGGGCGCGCACCAGAAGAGCACCATGTGTCGGCAGCAGTAGGCCAGCATGCCTCAGTGCCTCCTCCAGCGACGTCGGGTCAGCAAATGTACAACCCGCCCGACACCTATCGGTCGGCGCCCAACATCAACCTTGACCATGGCACCCCGCAAAACAGCCAATATGCCTCTCCCGCCGTGCCTGGCAGTCTCCAGCCTGCAAGCAGTGCCGCGTCGCAGCAACAGCAACAGCAGCAGCCACAACAGCCACCGCAGCCACAACCGTCACAGCAGCCGCAACAGCAGCA